TGATCACTTACCCGAGGCTTTGATACCATTGTTAGTAATTGATCTCCAGTAGGCAGCGGAAAAATTAAAGAATAAATCGAAAATCAATTACTATTATGCCAAGATTCGGGTATTGATTACAATATTTTCATGTTACTAAACATATCTATATAAAAAACAAAATTAATGGCAAATCCATACAAGGATTTAGATTCACTTACATACGTTTGGAGGCTCCTTCAATAGTCTCTGATTTGATTTCGCTTCTGATTCAATGTAGAATCACATGAACATTGATCCACACGAAGACAATCCAGAGAACCAAAAAGGGATTTGCTAGATCCACTCGATGGCTTCAAGAATCAAAAGGAAATTTTCTTCTCCACTCAATGAAGAAGAACGTGAGAGAGAGTGAGGGTGGCTAGGGTTTTTGTTTTATTCAATGAGTGAATAATTCTATTGATTTATTTTAATTAAGTTTCACTTATATAGTGTCACTTAATTAAAACCCGAATCCCATTGAGAATAGCCATGGGTTCTCAAGTTAATCCATCCTTGCAACCAAACACCCCTTTTTAGTATTTTAATTTTATATAATTATTATTATAATTAAAATCAATTAATATATATAAAAATACATATATTAACATTTAATTAATAATAATTCATTTAAATATATGTGAACACATATTTAAATATAATTTCATTAATTTTAATTTTAATATTAAAATTAAATACAGGCAATAACCTCAGCAAATTTAATTGCACTGTGAGATTACCAAAATACCTTTTCGTCCCAAAAGACGAAAATACCCATTTCACAAACTAATTCTTAAATTATCTTTTGAGTGTGTGACACGTATGCTCTTTATCATATCGACAGTGAGTAGTATCGCGATTAATACCAATTAATCTTCTCACTATACACAAACCAAAATTAGTCCCTAGCAAGGCATCATGGCCACCCGATAGATTCGGATTCAGCAAAATAGCTACCTATCAACGATATGGTTACCGTGCAATCAAATCCATTTATCATACATTATCTCATCAAGGCTGGGGTACAGAGATAGTGTCAACCTCATATATCCTTAATATTTTTGTATTTAGTTACTAGACTAATGACTGGGATAATAAATTGGATTGAACAACAACTCAATCCCACTGTGGCCACAGATTTTGTGTCATTGCCATTTACTAAATTACGTAGTGAGATAACTTCTCCCATACCCGGGAGTGATGAATCCTTTGTCGATCCACCATAGTCTTGATACAGTCCTCGATGCAGCCAATCATTATCATATTGATAGCTTTGAATAGAACTACATTGAGCTAGTGTCATACTATACCAATCGGTGCACAAGACACTCCGGTGATCTCAAGTCTAAGGATCACATGCACCACAATTTGTTAGAGGATTTATTCCATAAACACTAAGGTTACCATCCATATATGGAATCCTCTGGTAGGTTGATAAGTGCTTGAAAATACACTTATACTTAGTGGTTTATAGGTATCATTTGTGGGAAATTAGGATTGATTTGCATGAATTAACTTAATTGTTTCATAAATGCACTTTTCAGGATCACGGGTATTTTTGTTGTGTTTTCAGGGAATAAAGCTTAAAAATAATATTCGGATGAGAGATGATGTTGGCAAGAGAATTTTTGATGATTGGAAACAAACGGATCGAGAATCGGAGTTAAATTGAAGAAGTTATGAAGCTTTGAAGTAAAGAGGAAATTCTAGATTACGCTCTAGTTTGAGCATGTGTCAGTATTTCAAAAATAACTTGAGCTGTAGTTATTGTATGGTGATGATTCTTGAACCATTAGAAATCTGATTCAAAGGGCTAAATTTCATATGTTCACCACATTGCCAGATTCCATCGTTATCATGCTCAAATATCACTATCTCTGGAGTGCTAAAGAATGATGCAATGTTACAAGAGAAGTTGGACCATGCCACAGCACTGTGCTGCAATACAACAAGACCAGAACCAACCATGCTGCAGCACAGTGCCGGGGCACAGTCACAATAGTTGGAAAATTTTCTTCCATTTTTTACTAGGAAAATAGGGTTTAAGAGTCCTAAACTAACTAGAATTAAGGGAAACAAAACCCTAACCCTTGTGGGATATAAATAGAAGTCTTTTAGCATTATTTTGGGGGAATTTTCTTTTAGGGATCTTTGTAGAGAACAAAAATACACAATAATGTAGAGATTAAGAGAGATTGAAAGAGGCTTGGACTAAAGAATTGGGGAAGATCATCATCAACTCCATTGTTCTACCCAAGATTTCCTTAGCTTTTCTTATCTCTTGGTATTATTTTGTTATTCATTAATATGATTATGTTTTTCTTCTTCTCCATGAGTAACTAATTCTTTTGTGATCGAGGGTGATTTCAAAGCCCTAGACATATCTTGTGATTAATAAAATTTGCATCTATTTATCTTTTGATCCCTCTTGGTTATGTGATTGTTTCTTTGTGAATAGGGTTTAGATAGATTGTCTTAATTGTTTAAGTGCGCAATTAAATAGTTAGGATTAATTTATTAATGCCAATTTAGGTTGTTTAGTACAAAATCACTTTATTAACCTAAATAACTAGTGGTAAAGTGTATGCCTGCGTACATGGGGGTTAATCACTCAAGATAACTAAACCGACCATATGAGTTTAGCCTTGATTCAGTAGGTCTCTCGCAACTTAATGCTTTTATTACTTTGAATCTAGAGATCGTATCCTAGGTTATTTAATAAATAGGGAATTGGGTTATGACCGTGTCTAAGCCAACGACTCAGTAAGGAGAGATGAGACTTATCAACGTTTGGTATTTTATGAGCTGATGTGATCAAGAGGGTAGGAAGTTAAAGAGTGCTTTTATTATATGTAATTCATGTCTAGTGGTGGTGAATAAACCTTCAATCTAGTTTCTCTTATTTATCTTTTTTGTGATTGTTTCCTTGTTTTACTTTGTTTAATTTTAGCTTGATGGTTTTTGTTGAGTTTTTATAATTCATGACAAACCCCGTTTGAAGTAGATAATTAATTGAGTTCACAAATCCCCTGTGAGAAAGACCCTTATTTGTTCTTTGCTACTACACGACTTTGCATTAGAATTTAGTGAGGTAAAATTAGGTGTTGCATTTGCACGCATCATGGGTCTGTCTAGTAAACTTGCCTACAGCAAGCATGTTATACCAGGTTGTCGGCAAACAACCTTGACAAGTGAAATCAGTCACTGTCTTTCGACAGTATTGTTCAACACTATGATAGCATTACCGTATTATCTGTATCCTTGGTCATAATAATATTAGGGCTATGGACATTTCTAGAATGGCCACCATATGTGATCATAAGGTTCTCACTATCAAGATTTAAAATAGTTGATATCCTCATCACGGTTCTACCATCCTAAGGACATATATCATTACATATAACTCTAATTTACGCGATATAGAAGAATATGCCTCTTATTAATAAATAAACATTATTACAAATAGTCAATTTTATAATAATTGATTGGCTTTAGGGCACCTACTCTAAAATTTACTTTTTATAGATTTATTCAAGTAGGAAAGTATTGTGTTATTGCATTCTTTCTTGTCATGTTCTTAATATTGTTTTATTTCATTTGCTTAAGGTTTGGTGATTTTTTTTAAATTTTCACTAGTTGTTTGGCAAACAATGGCAGAGCCATGGAGGCCCCCCATTGGCAAAAATCCTAGATCTGCCACTGTCTCGACGTAAATTCTATAAATACATTGTATTATAACACAACTTATGCAATCTTCAACCAATTTAAGTAACATAGTATATATTTTTTGCAATATAAAGATAATTATTACTATGTGGTGACAAGTTCCTTAAGATAGGATCTAAAAAAATTATAACTTATTATAATGTGGAGCTTATTCTTACGTATAACTAGTCTAAGTTGGGACTATAACTTTTTATGACTACATGAAAATTATTACTATATAGAGTATCATTATAAAAATATTCTATATGAAATATTCTATATCTATAATTTTATAATAATTTAATTTAATTATTATTATATCAAATTTCTTAATTTAGGGATAGTATCAAACGTAGGACCTGCTCTCTTAGTTTGAAATAATGGAACAAAATCCTTATCTAGGGTAGTACTTTGTTTAAGGTGTATCAGGTAGATAAGAAATTAACTTCTAATTACCAACCTGACCTGTAATAAGATTATTTTAATGCATTATGCTTTCAATTTCAAATAACTTGTATTAACTAAGAAGCCAGTGGCTACGGCCTACGTTATAACAAATAATTAAATCCAGCCGTCCGGCAGTTGAGCTGCATAGCCAACTATGTACATATATATATGTGCGGCGCGTTAAAATGAGAAAATTTCTAAAGCCCTTAAGGTCATACCGTAATTTGTAGACCCCCTATAGTTTTGGATAGCTCACAACCCCCTACTATTAGGCACAGTCACGTGCAATCTGTCTTTTGACTTCCTATCCAACATAAATACCATATTTATCCCTCATTTGAGGTAAAATAAAAAGAACTAGCAAATTAATAAACACAAATGTTTTAAAGTTATAAATAATCAAATAAAATTTTTTCTTATGAAATTAAAAAAAAAAAATTCCAATAGAATAGAACCAATAAATGTGTTATCTCAAAATAAAATTGAGCTCTCATATTGAAAAAAAAAATCAACAAAATCTTATAATTTAAAAAAAAAAGTTTTTTTCATTTTTCTCTTTATGAAATCGTTTAGGATCAAACGCAATCACTTCATTTAGAATTATTAAAAATTTGTATCAGATATTTTTTATAAATTTATAAAAAGGTTATTAGATAATTTTGAAAGGATTTTTTATGTTATTATAGAGTATTTAATAAATAATTATATCTTTAATTTAATGGGAGCGTGGTGTAGACGCACATGGGAACGCGTCTTTTATTCAAAAGCAGGTTTCTTGTAAATGAAACCGAGTTGAGAGTCCTGACCGCCAAAGTTGGGTATTAAAAGCTAGTGGTCTACGAAACTACACAACCACCTCCACCTTATGATTTCCCCTCCCAGTAAAGAGACAAAAAACCAGAGAGAGAAATTATTGCTATGGCTGTTCTCAGCAGGTCCATCTTCATCACCATAGCGGTTCTTGCTGTTGTTCTAATTGGCTCAGCAGAGGCACAAGATCAATCATGTGCATCAAAGCTGGTAGCCTGCTACAAATTTATCAACACCACCACCAAACCAGACAACGATTGCTGTAGCAACATAAGAAATGCAGTACAAAATGAGCTTAAATGCCTCTGCACTCTCTACACCACCCCTGGCTTGTTGCAGACTTTCAACGTCACCTTTGATCAAGCTCTCAAGCTCACTAACGAATGCAACGTCCCCACTGATATCAACGCCTGCAAAAGTATGTAACCATTACCTTATCTCAATCTTTCATCTTTTACAAATTTCTTCAATTTCATGATTTATGCTCAATTTAATGCTTTTCTCACTATTTTAGTCAATTTTATTGACTATTTCTTTTTTCTTTGTGTTTTTGCCTTCGACACAGGCTCAGCTGCCTCACCCACATCGGGGCCAGGTTTTAATTCCATTTTAATTACACAATTTCCGTTTTAATTCCATTAAATGGTGTTATTTTTCACTTTCTTTTTGGTTCGGTAAAGCGAAAATCATGATCACAGTCATCAGGTTTAGATCTGCTACAAATTTGTTGTTATGTCTGACCACGTGATAACTAAAAGTTAAAGTCAAGGTCAAGTCGGCCGGCAAATGTAGACCAGTAATGGTCTAGCTAGCCCAATATAATAAGAGTAATAACAGCGTTACAAGGAGGTATAAAAAGAGTCGTATAAAGATTTAATTCCACCTCTTGAAAGAAGGGAAAAAAGAGAAGTATTACTCATAATAACAAATCAAAGAATAAAATATTTTTTATATCAGCGGTTGAAAAATCACAATGAAAATGGAGGCCGATTCAACTACTATTTATCTAATTGTCTTTTATGTGGAAGTGGAGTAGGTGATGAATATGGTTAGGCCCATTGCCAGCTTATGGATGCTTTCGGTGCCTCCAAATTTGACCTAGTATAATACTAGTTTACAGTTCTGCATTTGTCATCAATTCTTGGTGAAGAAACAAAGTAAAAAAGAAAAGAAATCATGTCACAACTCACAACAATGTGAAATCATAGAAAACGGAGAAGGAAAAAGAGAAGCATTCACATTGTTTTTAAAATTAATTTCTATTGTCAGACAGTCAAACATAGTATAACTGAATACTGATAGATGCTTTTATTACTCAAGTAATTCAAAGTTTCCTTCAGTCCGTTTGTTTTACACTGATATATCATACATAATATTTATTAGATGCCTCTGTGTATTTACATATGTTTGCCCTTAATTGAAAATTGATGGCAATAACAATATAAAAGTTACAGGTACGGTACCCGGAGGTGACAGCGGTGATGGAGAGAGGGTGGCATGGACTGGAGTTACCAGCTTACTCTTATTCTGTGCTTCCATGTTGCTTTATTAGTACTACCAATTACTTATATTTGGTAGTGGAGTAAATAATAATGTTGAGATGATTGATTAGTAGAGAGTTCATTGTCATTTGCTGCTTCATATTTTATAGATTTGGACAGTGTTGTTATCCCCTATATGCTATGTCACATTGATCTTAACATCTTCATGTATCTGACCATTTATCACAGAAATGATTTGATGTTCTTATTGGAAATAAATGAAGTGTTCTTTGATGTGTCTTTTATCTTTCTCTTTGAAATTAATAACAAGTTTAATCACACTTTTATAAGGGCTATTGATAATTGCCATTTGCCAGTGAAAAGAGACTAACTTACATTTAACATGTGAAGCTCTCAACGATTGACAATAACATCAATTTCAAATCAAATGAACTATTTGATAATTGGCTTAGAGGAGTGGAGAACGTGGTTCTTGTTGGTGGTCTGGATTTAAAATTTTCATGGTTGTATTGTCGTGTTATCAAGTTAAAAGAAGTTCCACTTTTTAAAATCTTTTATTATTATTAATTTATTTCTAAATAAAATTATTGGACCTACCTTTTATTTCTTTTTCTCTCTGGACAATTTTGATACTCTACTTTGCATAAAGACTAATTCACCGTGATCTTATTGAAACTTTTTTAGAAAATTTGCTTAAAGTATGAATAAGAATTATAAAAATTTTAATCTATTTCTATGAAGGAAATTAATTTATTTCCTGAATAGATAAAACCGATTATGAAAGCTTCATATGAGTATCCATTCGCACTGGATCTGATTTTATCCAGCTATTCTATAATTTGCTTGAAAATCTAAGTATATCTTCAACAGTTTCTAATTTGATTGTGATTTGTGTGGTGTTTGGTTGTTAGATTAAACAAGCCTAATTAACTCCTAATACAAAATCCAAAGCTCAATACGAGGTAAATGGATCAAATTTTGTGCTTTCATTATTTTTGCAACTCTAATTTCATTTTGCTATAATTTCCTAATAATACTTAATTCTAAAAGATTATCAACACCAAGATTATTATCCAAGTCCTTGAAAAATCCTCAAGGCGATATTTTTATTTCACTTAAGAGTTATGAATTCATTTCTATGGATTTGTAAATATTTTTGTTAACTTATGAATTTGTGCGAGCACACTTAGTTCAGATGTCTGCACATCATTTTGTTCAAGCACAATCGTTTTTGTAGCTTTCAATTGTCATGACTCTCTGTGTTGATGGACACACACTTAGTTAGTATGTTTTTGTTGTAAAACATGTGGGCATATCAGAGCCTAGTGTGCAAACAATCGTCCAGTCAGACTTTAATACAAATGCCATGTTGCCATTTGTTGTTAGGATATTTCTCCAGGTTTGAGATATGTGTAACAGTGTAAGTGCTCCATATACAGAATATCTTAGATATTTTGAGCAAGTTTTCTTTATATTCTTCATCAACCTTGCATTTATGTTTGAGCCTAAATATTCCTTATATTGTTCTCTAAAAATCCTTTGAGGTTTATTTCATATTTGATTAGGTTCCATATGTTTTGCTAAGCTTAAAATACCTTGTTAACCATATGTTGTTTGACTGTTGTTGGAACATGGTTCCATTGATGAAAAGCTTGATGTGATTTCAAGCTATTAAGCTGAAGTGCATCTTCGGTGTTGAAGCTCGAGTGGAGCTCGAGCTATCCAAGGGGTGTCTTGGATTCAAGCAAGTTATGGCAAGATGGTGGATCATCCGAAGGGTGGAGTTAGAACTTTTTGTAAACAAGGAGTGTTTTACATTTTTTTGCTTAACTATAACTTTGTATTGAACCTTGAATGTTTGCTATAAAGGATTTGCTTCATCTAAACGTGGTCTCATGGATGTAGGCAGTTGGCTGAACCATGTAAAAACCATTTGTGTGCTTTACCTTATGTCATGGATGTTTAACAAATGTGTTGATGATGAATGGACAAACCTACAAGCATAAATGAACAAGACTAATATATTCCACATAAGTTCAATGAACTTGGTTAAGTCATAAAAAAATCATTTGGCATCAAAGTGTAGTTTGAAGAGTCATTTCAGTAGATCCTTGCTTGTTGTTTGTGCTTGAGTCTTGATTTTAGGTCTGTTACTTTTTGTGTATTTTTGTGCAATTTTGAGCAGTTTGTCTCGCTACAGCGTTTGTGACCACATTTGTGTTGTGTGTCTTCACATATGATTTGTGTGCTTGTATCTCGTTACAACGTTTGTGACCGCATTTGTGTTGTGTGTTTCCACATCTGCCTTGCGTGTCTGTGTGTCATTACATTTGTTTTAGTTGTGTCAACATCTGTTGTGTGTTTATCATGAACTTCTTTAGTGAAGAAGGGTTTACAAATAGACCACCCATGTTAGAGGGACCAAACCACGCTTTTTGGAAACCTGGGATGTGTGCCTTCTTAAAGTCTACAGATGAAAGGTGAGGATATCATATGTGGTTAGTTGGAAAACACCCGAAGTTGTTGAAGAAGAGGTGACCAAACCAAAATATAAAGAAGAGTTGAACAAGACTGAGTTGATCCTGCTAACTTTAATTCAAAAGTCATTCATGCCATCTTTAATGCTGTTAGTATAAATCAAATGAAAATCATTGCTAACTATGAAATTGCAAAAGATGTTTGGGATAAACTCCAAGTAAAAAAAATGAAAGAACAGACACTGTTAAAAAGACTAGGCTTAGGAGATTGGTTACTAACTATGAAAATCTGACCATGCATAAAGATGAAACAATCACTAGTTTTCATGGCAGGATATGTGATGTGTCTAATGAGTGTTATGTTTTGGGTAAAGTCTATACTAATGTTGAGCTTGTCAAGAAAATCTTATGCTCACTACCCAGGAGATTTATGTCAAAGGTGGCCTCAATCGAAGAATGTCGGGACTTGGATGCCATGTAATTGGATGAATTGATTGGATCATTGCAAACTTTCAAATTCAATATGAAAAGATGGGACAAGAAGTCTGGTAAAGGTCTTGCTTTGTAGCATGAGGTAAATTCTAATCCCTTTGAAAATGTTGATGAAAGTGATGTGGATGATAATAATTGTGCCTTACTCACAAAAAACTTTGCCAAATTTTTGGAAAAGAATATGAGAAAACCAAATGTGACTAGAAAAGGCTAAAAACCCTAGTCAAAAACTTTTCTAACCAATCTAATCTTGGTGCTTTCTCGAAAAAGTTTTCAAAAGAACATGAAAAGAAAAACAAAGGCATTAAGTGTTTTGAGTGTGAGAGTTATGGCCACATCCAATCTGAGTACTATGCCACCACTATGAAGAAAAAGGGTAAAGCAATGGATGCTACCCTAAGTGAGAGTGATGAGAAGAAAATGAAAGTGAGGAAGATGAACCTAATGTGAGTGAGAATTTCCTAGTTTTACTGTTAATCAAGAGGATAGTGAGAGTGTGACCTCTGATGATTATAGTGATGTCTATAAAGAGCAACAGAAAGCCTATGATAAAATCTCGTCATTCCCTATTGAGGCAAAAATGCAATAGCCTTGAGTAAATAAAGGGTCCAACTCTATTTAAGGTTGTGAACATTATTTTGAACTCATAATTAAAAACCGTGTCTCCCATAATATGACTAACACATTTAAATAGTTCTTAATATATATTTATAATATGACTAACACATTTAAATAGTTCTTAATATATATTTATAATAAGTTCTAGATCATTTGTCATTGACTTAAAACAGCAAATATGAAAGGTAAATCAAATAAATTCTATATAATAATAAAAATATTTACTGGTACAGGTTTTGTCAAAGAAGAAATCGCCTGGAAGCGCGCCGCGGCGCAAGTCGCCCAGAATGCAAAAATAGTTCATTTCCAACCCTAATTTAAGTTACCAGTATTTACTAAACTGCCACTCATTGTAAAAACTATATAAAGGGCAGTATATTTCATTTTTTATAGATATGAACATTTTAGAAATACTAAACATTTGGGGATTGAACTACTCTTGGGGGTTTTGGAAAGGAGGAGCTTGGAGAGGAGAGGAGGTTCTCTTCCTCTCCTACTCATTTGTTCTTCAGATTATGGTTCCAATTGTATTCGTTTCTTTTCCTTTATGTTATAGTTTGTTTTCTAGGGATTTGATGTAATCTAATTGAAGGCTTGTCTTTTATTGTTATTATCTAAATATATGATACATTCTATTATGATCTAGATTCATTCATTGCATTTAATTCAATCTTTAGTTGATATTAGGCTTGATCAATCTTGATGTTAGTTAATTGATTGTATGAGACAAGATTGTGTATGGAATGACTGATTTGTAGCCTTGCCCGGGTATAGTTTGGTTACTGTTTTTAAGATCGTCTTATGCTTAATGGGTTTTCGTAGTTGGACTAGACTATATGCCACTAGCTAGTTTGATTAATAAAAATACTAGGTTAAATTCGAACACCCATAGTAATACCTTAGAACGAGCAACGCTTCATTTAATGCACTGCAGAACACAGTAGAATGGTCGTTCCACCATATCGCATGGTCGTTCCTAACACCAATGGTCATAAAATTTGAAATATGGAGTCCAGAATGGTCATTCCACCATTGTGCACGATCGTTCCACCATTGCACATGGTTGTCCACCATTGTGCACGGTCATTCCACCATATGGAACGGTCATACCATTTAGTTCTTCACAATCCATAAAATTCCAAAAGCATGAATGATGTCATTCCGTTTGGAACAAGTGTTCCATCATGATTCCAGCTGATTTGGGCAAAGTGATAAACATGAAAGTTTTAGTCCTTTGAATTATCTTTCCGACTCCACAAAAGTCATGTAATTATGATAACGGCAGCAAACGTTATACATGAAATACTGAATAGATGTTCTTGATCTTTATTCTGCCAGATCGTCAACTTGTATCATGATTTCCTCCTTGATTCCGGCTTATCTGAGCAAAGTTATGAACATAAAAGTTTTGGACCTATGGATTAGCTTCCCAACTCCACCAGAATCACGCCATTATGATCTTT